TAATGACACAGTAGAAATAAACAATGTAGTCTGTGTTTGCATCAAAGCCAAACATAAGGCAATTATAAGCAGGAAAACCGCAGGAATTGAAGATTCTCGACATGCCAGATGAACGCCACACCTATCTGAGAATTGAAAAGTAAAAAATATTTTACATCACCTGACCACACCTGCTATTGTTCCCCATCTTATTTTTGGGGCTTTACTGTATGAGCTGTTGATCCAAAATGTCCAACAACAACATAAAGGTTTGTCTCTACATAGGTCTAAACCAAGGGGTCTCAAACTCCATCAACAACAACAAAACAAAGGTTTGTCTCTACAGAGGTCTAAACCAAGGGGTCTCAAACTCCCGGCTCGGAGGCCACCTGAAGCCCATCGACCGTTCATATCCGGTCCGCAGCTATATTCTGAAAAAATCATTTTAGCTAATAACAAAAGGACAGGAGATGACAAGCACCGGCAGGTTCAAGAATGACGGACATTTGACAAGTGCGCAGTTACAGTGGCTACATTGGTGTCTGATGTAACAAAGAAGACGTGTTTTAACACATTCTTAAAATCAGACTCACACTTTATAAATTCTATCATTCACTTTTTGACCGATCATCATTGCGTCACCATGGTGGGAGAACGTGAACATTTGTACAAGTTTCAGCGACCGTCAGACACGATGATCTGGGCACGTGGACTTTTCTCATTTTCTTCAGGCTGAATAAAACAAGTCGACATGTTTCTGAGACGGCAGCACACTTTAACTTAAACATGTCTCTCAAACAGGCTCACACACTCTTGGCAGCGCCATCGTCCCCAGCCAGGAGAAACGTTAGTCAGGTATCAAATGATGCTAAAGTACACACTTCCTCCAAATCTGATATTTTCTTTTACTACGGGGGCTCAGGTGTTTTTCTTTGCAAGCTAAATATTTTCTTTTTTGCTGGTGGGCACTTGTATTTTTAGCACATTGATATATAGAGTCACATTGTTAGGATGATCAGCTGCTGTTCCACTACAGGTGCTATGCATTAATCTGAAGTAAAGACAAACACTTTTGTCGATTGCTCAAAATGTACGAATAGCAGAAGGGAGTTTTTGTTTTTAAATGACTGAATACTGACTCTCGCTGACTTCCTAAAACATATACACAAACGAAGACGTTAAAAAATTACTCACTTAAATAACATCAATAAATCACAGCGCAGCCTCGCATGTTTCCAGAACTCAGACAACCGCTGGCTGCTCAGGCAATCACAGAGCAGGGGATTAGATGAAGCATCACAGATGCACGGCTCGTCGTTGCTCTTATCATTGAGTGAGTGTTTAACTTTTTAGCAATCACAGGGTACAATGAAAGGTCAGAATTCTCCCATCTGAGTAAAAAAGTCTTTCTCACTGCAGTCTCACTTCCTCCAGGGTGAATCCTGCGGCCCATGTTTGTACAAAGATGACATTTCCAATGTGAATCTCATGCATGTAATGCTTGAAAATGCAGCCTAAACCCTGGCTCTGTCCCTAAATGGGAGTGCGTAACACGATCAGTCTCAAATGAGGCGTGATACAAAAGACTGATGAGTGCTGAGATCACGGTCTGCTCCACCCCCCACCCCCCCAAAAAAAAAAAAAACCAGCACAGAAAAGCTCAGACCATGTTCATGTAGGGCACAAACACCAACATGGAATTCAGAGGAAATCACACAGATTTCTTCATTGCAACATAACTGAAAATGACGATGACCTTCAATGTTAGGCTGAAAAAAAAAAAAAAAAGTTTCTGTAAATAGTTGTTGACTTGTGTTTCATGCTTTCCAGAGCAGGCTGAAAACTATTTAGATTTAAAAAAGCCACAAGACACTGAAACCATCAATCATCTGCTTGACTGAGTCACAGCTGAACAGACAGACAAGTGTGTGTGTTTGTGTGTATATGTGTGTGTGTCTCACTTCACTTTTCACTAGTGATTATCAGTGTGGCATAATCAAGAAAAAAAAAAAAAAATGTGGCATAATCAAGAAAAAAGAAAAACTCCGGGCTTTTCCACAGTTTTATAGGAAGCGAGGTTCAAAAGCCTGATGCAGACAATAAGACGATTCATCCTGGAGCTGAGGATGTCGGGGACGGAGGGCTGAGAGCGTAACTGTGAGCTCCGACAGAACTCATAAATGCTGAGACACATTTAGCCGACATATGGTTTGCGTTTGGCCAGAAGAAACAATAATCAAATCCGTTGATCTTCTTCTTGCTGCAAGGATGACTGCTAATATAAAAGTCTGTTCCGTCTAATCATAATTTAGGATGGGGCTGTAATTACCTCCGCCCTCTCACAACAACACTTTGTCTAAACAGGACAGAGCCGGCCTCCACGCAGACACAGGCTCCGCTTACCACGGCCGTGGGTTTGAACCTGCTCTGATAGACAGATGTACTTCGTTGTTCCCAAGGTGATGAGGTCATGACGTTTGGGTTACTTTATCGTAAACATTATAAAACATATTCCAAACGTACAGGGACTTTTGTCAACAGGCTCGGAGTTGCCACAGTTTCACACGTTCAACCTGAGCGAGCCAACGTCACGCTAACCCCCACCCGTGAACTCCCACGTCCCACGCCTTGTTAACATCAGCGCACTGGCTTGGCGAGTGCTGCACCCGCTGCACATCACATCACTTCACTTCACTTCACTTCACACGGCCTTCGTGTGCAACAGACACTTTGATTGTGCTGTTATTTACAAACTGGGACACGGATCCAAGTGAGTTCTGGGTCTAATTAGCAGACCCTAATCCACAACTGCAAACAACAGAGCTCTCAGTGCAAATAGACTGAACGGCACTTCATCAAAGGGATGCTCCAGAGGAGCCAAGTAGAAACAGCATCGTTTGAGAATTACGGCCTTTTTATTATCCTCCAGTGTAACACTAATAGGTCAAATTTACCAGAATGAAACGGTTGCTGTAAAAGTGAATTAATCAGGGTTATAATTCCAGTCTGGAGAAGGAAATAAAATGACTATGTTAGTTATGTTTCACAAACTCTCCTTGCAGGGAAGCACTTTTGAAAGATGACAAATCATCATAAGTTAGTCTGCAACGCAAAGGAGGAGGTCGTGAACAAAAATGGTAATAATTGGAAACACGATTGCCATGAACTTAAATAATGAAAACAGTGTGTGTTCTGCGTTATAATAATTGATTCAGTCTGCTCTTTGGTTTAAAATGTAAATACATGCCTATGGATACAGACCAAACATGAAAATGTACTAATGTAACTGTACAAGAAATCACTTCAGTTGTAAATCTAAAATACAAATTTAAGATATTTTATTCATTAGGTTTTTTTTATTTAAAAGTAAAGCATAAATAGATTTTGGTTATATATGTTTTTCAAAAAACTCTGTAGACCTTAAATTTTCTGGCAGAGAAAAGCTCCGACGACAAGTCCCAAAAACATAACCACCATTTATATTTGAATCCTGTCTTTAACCAGAGCTGCTGCTTCTCAAAACAACCACATAAATGGATCTGAACCGTAACTTTGTATGAAAAGTGTAACTGTCCAGATTTTGCACATCTTCAGCAAAGTACTGTTTCGTTTGAATAAAACACAAGGAGTGTATGTTGGCATAGACAGCACTTTTTAAGTCATGCATGTTATGATTAAAAATCCACTTCTGTTTGTTTTTTGGTCTTTTTCATTTCATCACCCCTGAATCTAATAACACTCCTCCAGATTTTAAACTAATTTCAGTGACGTTAACTAACAAATACACGTCCATCACATGTCACAGTATCACTTCAGCATCACTGAAATCAGGAACCTACCTTGCACCGGTGGCAGAGGGAAGCAGGAGCGCGGAGCTTTGGCCGCATTCAGTCGCTTGTTACCGGGGCTGGAACTGTTCATTTGCGTCGGGATGTCATGGAGGCTCCGGGAAATCTGAGCTCCAAAAGCAGAGCTGTTCCGACGCGCACACGCGTCCGCCTTGGCGCTCCCGTACACGGAGAGGGTCACGCCGGTAAAGTCCGTGAAGGCAGGGGTCTGACAGTGGCTGACCATGGCGTACACCGTGGAGAAATCGATCACTTTGCGTTCACATGCAGCGTCCAGCCGCCGCGCACCCACACAGACTATACCTGCAGGAGGGGAAACAGCGGTCACGTGGACGTAAACGGTGCAGTCAGTCAATTGGACGCGTTTCGCCGCAAAAGATGCGCTCAATCAAGGGTGATTATCGAAGTGAGTGAAGAGACAGATCCTTCCCAGAAAACACCCACCTTATCGGGCAGACCTGTGAGGAGCAGACCGGTTCTCATTGTGAGCAATGTCATGTTTAACGAAGTGGAGGGGGAAGAATTTGCAATCCACATCGACAGCATCATCTCCACTGAGAATCAATCAGAATCAATGATTCAGTCTCTCTCTCTCTCTTTCTCCCTCCCTCTCTCTCTCGTTCTCTCTCTCCCCCTGATTTCACCCCAACAGCACAAACGTTCTACGGTATTAAGAAGAACCAGTGAAGATCGAGTCAGAGTTCCTGTGGGAGGACAGGGTCTGTGTGAAAACCACTACGTCGTCGTAAATCGGAGCCGGGACGTAAAGTTGGGGGAAATCCTCCGGTGTGTCTTTGACCCCATACGATCTACGAATAATGAACAAAAGCCAGGCAGTTCCAAACCCTGGGTCTGGACCCAAAACTGGCTCAAATGATTCTGTCAAAATATTCATGTCTAAATGTGTATAATTGTTGTTTTATTTCATTGAAAAATAGAATTGAATACTAAAGGTTTATCCACTCAGTTGTGTGCTTACGTTTTGTCCGTTTTTTACCATTAAGAGATGTAATTTGGGGGTTCGAAATGTTAGAAATTGCCGAAACCAACAGCAGATGGCAGTAATGCCATTTTTGTATTTCTTCTTTTTTCTACTGTGCTCAGAAAATGGGGCACAAAGGTATAACTTTACACCAAATAAAGTTAGTAAGACTTATTAACCTGGTTTTAAACCATTTACTGTATCATTATCAAACAGCTGAATGATTAAAGTTTGAAATGTAGCCCTTTTTAATTTTAATTTAATTTAATCAGTTTCTAGTATCTACAAGTTTTAACCATGGTTTTACCCGTTTTAAACTCATGTTTTAAGGTTTAGAGAATACAGTTGAGAATAAAATGTTTACTAAGCTCACAGTAATGTACATTTTTCTTTGTTTTGTTTTTTTAAATTGCTTACAGAAGTATTTTAACAAAGTATTTAAAAAAACAACTAGTTATATAACCAGTCATACCATAACTATGATTAGAGATAGCTAGATCTAGATCTACTAGAAACTATATGTAGATATTTTTATGATATACTTTATGAAACTCTCCAAGAAGACAACGACAAATGACAATGATAAAGAAACACGTTTGGAAAAATAAATAAATGTATAATGTTTTTGAATAATAATACATTTTTGTTATGTAAGTAGAAGTTTCTTTAAACATGTTTTTTTTACATAAAAAATATATAAACGTTTCTTTCCAACGATACCAAAACAAGCCCAGTTCAGCGCAGGATGGTGTATGGAGGGTGTATGCAAATACTGGCTAGCAGTGCCCTCTTGTGGTACGTAAATGTAGGTAACAGCACTAAAAAAATGTACATAGAACACATAAAAGATTAAGATTGTATTATTTAACGTGTATTATTTTGACATTTACGTCACTTATATCCCGAAAAGACTAACAAAGAGCCGACTTATTTTTGGTAAATATTTAAATTCGTCTAGCCGTTTATCATTTAACATTCAAACATAGGTGCTGCCATTTAATGGCTGATTCGTTTGTATTGCTAGTTTGATTGTGATATAATAAACAGGGAGGGGATGGGGGAATAAAGTAAAACTATTACTATTTAGTACAACGACTGGAAAAAGTATACATTTACACATCTTAATAAATGGTGCTTTAAATGACAACTATATCGAAAATAATAGTCTGGAACACTTTAGCAGTGTTGCTAACACAAACAAAACACAACAAACTTAATGGTTTATACTGTAATTTAGTCTCTGATATAAAAGGTTTTTTATTATTATTATTTGAACATTAATGTACCGCAAAGGACAACCTTAAAGACAAAATTTTGACGACTCATTTTAAAGTAACGAAATACATCATCGCCTGCGAGAACGGGGATAACATATAGTTTGTGAGAGTACGTGTTGACGTCACGGTCATGGAGGCAGCGGCAGTAACAAAGTCGGAGTAAGTGGGCGGCAACCGCCATGTTACATAAAATCACGGCAGTGGGTCAAAGAAATACTCACAGACAAACGTTGATCGTTGAACCGCTGACATGTTCCTACAGAAGCTGCTGCTCTACCTGAGCACAGCCGGCTTACTCTGTTATATGGCGACGCTTTACATCACATTAAATGTACTACATCTCTTTTTCCCAAACTTCGTCAAGAGGGTAATTCTCAAAATAGGCGAGAGGACCACCATGACCCAGAATCAGTCATTTAAGTACGAGGACTGGGGGCTGACCTTACTGTCCACCACCTTCGTCAAGACTGCGTTAAAAAACAGTTGGACGTCCCTGAGACAGGAGGCTTTTGTCGGGAAGCCAGCTCCGGACACTCCTGTGGTGACCATAGACGGGGAGAAAACCAGCCTGTTGAAATTTCTGAGACGTGAGTTGGTCCTTTTAACACCGTTTTAACATTTTATAAGTAAAACAACAATCTGGGTCCCAACAGCTGGCTGGGGGACCTTTACAGGGTCATTTGGTACCATTAGTCTGCATGGTGTTTTATTTTGAAAAACGATTTAAAAACTCTTTTTAGCACTGTTTTGTATCCGTTAATAGGAACTTAAACAAAAAACTGCATTTAATAGTAAATATCACATATTATGCATAATATAAAATAATAATTATGTCATATTAATGTATGTAATTATTGATTTATATATGATGGACTCCCCCTCAGACTCACATCTTTGACATAGAAATCATACCTGACATTACTACAATAACAACGGAGATGACAGATTATTTAAATGAATCCGGTATATTGAAACAGTATTCCCATAAAAACACTTGTTCTGGATAAAAACACTAAGGATTCATTTTTCTTTCTTCTTCAGACAACAGACCACTGGTGCTGAGTTTCGGGAGCTGCACCTGACCCCCGTTTATGTACAAACTTGATGAGTTCAAGCAGCTCGTCAAGGATTTCAGCGACGTAGCAGACTTTTTGGTGGTCTATATCGCTGAGGCTCACTCAACAGGTGACTGCTGCTGCTCCCGTAGTTGTGTAGATAAACGATAGGAGCCTCAGAAAATCATTGTCCTTAAGATCATCGAGGAGATGTTTCTCACAAGACAAGAAGAAAAATTGCAGTAAAAAAAAAATCATCAGCACTTTTTATTGTAAAGAAAGTCTTTAGCTCTGTGGTTCGTTTTCATGTTAACTACTGAAGTCAAGATAAGAAGACGTTTCTTAACTCAGGTTTAGCGCCATCTTTTGTGTCCTTTTGTAAATTGTATTTTTTTTTCTCAGATGGTTGGGCCTTCAACAACAACATTGACATCAAGCAGCACCGCACCCTGGAGGACCGGCTGTCTGCAGCACGGATCCTGGTTGAAAAGGATCCACTGTGTCCCGTGGTGGTGGATGATATGAGTGATGACACTGCCAATAAGTATGGTGCTCTGCCGGAGAGACTTTACATGCTTCAGGCAGGAAAAGTTAACTACAAGGTGAGAACTGTGCAGACTTAAGACAAGTCAGTCTAATTAAAGCTAAAACCCCAAAAATATGGGCGTATGTATTATTAGACAAGGCCAGTCACGCAATTCTGTGCGGAAGAAACACAGAGATGTCGTAACATTTTTTGGCAAGGTGCCAAAAGAACAACATGTAACATGAATTT